TGGCAGCGTCGCACTGTTTGACATAGGTGTCTTCTGCCTTCTTGTAACCCTGCTTGTAACCCTACTTTTCGGCTCCCTCCGCCCTCTTTTTTAGTTGAGTTATTTCGGTGTCTTTTCTCTTCTCAAGCTTCACCAACTCCCGCAGATACTTGTCTTTCATAGCGATGGCGGCTTTCTGCTTCTCCGCTTCAGCCGAATTAACCAGATCGGCAAGTCGGCCGTTCTCTGCTTGCATCTCGGCCATTTTCTTTTCAGCTTCTTCTAGCTCGGCCACCTTTGCCTCGGCTTCCGCCATTGCCTGCCTTGTGGTTTTTCTAAGCTCTTGGACCTTCTTGTACGTAATGTTATTTTTTTGTAAGGCCTGACGAAACAAAGACATCTCTTGAGCCGAAGTAAAAGTTTGGAAAAATCAGACAGAAAAAGCGGACAGAGCTACTTACCAAAATCATGGACTTCGATGTAGACCGGATTGACTTCATTTCGATGTTTAATTGCTTTAGGTGGTGCTCCATGTCCTTGGGGAGGCACACACATTTGGCCAGATTAAAGGCCAATTGATGATCCTTTTCAGCAACAACCGAATCAGAAGCTTTGATGTCTCGATCGTTGAAGGTTAGCTTCGGAGCCCATTTTGCAGATTCTGCTCGGTCAGTTTGCTCCGGTTGAAGAGTAAGTTGAGGACTTTGGGGGATGGATTCAACCTCATCAACAAGTTGCTGTTCGGTCGATGCAGATCGGGCGCATTTAGAAGGGCGAGATGAAGAAGGCTGCTGAAAAGGGAGGGCCACAACGGCAGGCTGCGTTTGTACGGATGGTTCTACTTCGGCCTTGGTTGTGGCAGTCAGAAGGGCCCTAACTCTGCTTTTCTTTGCCATTTCTTCTTCGGCGGTTAGTGGGGCAAGTCGTATTTCGGGCAAGGTTGGGTCCGGTTCAGGTGCTTCTTCAAGAAGGAAATCGGTCACTCGGGCTTTTCGACGACCGCTATATCTATAGGTCGGCTCGAAGTTTAGAAGCTTTGACCAACTTCTTTCTTTAATCCGTAGTGCGGCTCGAAGTGTGTTCAGATTTGGATAACTATAATGGGAAGCAAGATGAGCTGAATCTGCAAAAAAGATTCAAACTGTCAGACCGGTTGTGAAATCTGAAACCGAAGTAACAGAAAAACATGTATGAAACCGAAGTAACTCTACCAGGTTCTCCTTTCTTCCAGTTTATACTTCGGCCTGGGATTGGGGCTTGCTGATCTTCAAAATTGCCCGATACCCAGAAGAAGTCATCATCATTAACGTCTTTGTCCGGTGTATCTTTTATTATCTTTTCTCTACGTCGGCGTATCCTAAGGTAATAAACCCAGCCATGTCCTTGGATCCTATGGAGTACTGGTGGAAGATTTCGGCTAAACCAAGGTTCAGGCCTGCTTGGCGGTTTAGCTCGGCTATACCCATTATTATCCGGTATGTATTGGTGGATAGCTGGGTTGGGCATAGTCTGGTTTGCCTAAGGAATTCACAAATTAAAGGTTGGACTGGGAACCTTAGTCCGGTCTCTATTATAGAAAGCAGGGTAAAAGGTACAAAGCCTGTTTCGCCCCATGGTATGATGTCCTTTTTGGCTAGGGTAAGGTATACATCGTCTGGAATGCCATAATCCCTTCGGAATTCGGCCATGCCACCAGGGGTCTCAACTAAATACCTATACTTACCCATTTGCGGTATAAATTAAGAATAAATTAGATCGGTGCAAGAGTTATGCTCAGTAGCTCGGTTGAGCGCACGGAGGAGTGCCTGGGCAACCTAATTCTGCAAAGTAGAAAACAAAGGGGTTAAGCACAGATCGTAGGACCGTGCTACAAATTAAAAGAAAGGTAAAGAACTCTACTTCGGCTCTACGAACGGGTTCTATCTCGGTTCAACAAAATGCTGGGTAGCTCGGTTTGAGCTTAAGGCTTGCAAGATCGGGTCTATTTATGAGGTTAGTTGTCTCGGTTTGAACTATGAAGTTTTGTCACTTCGGTTAAGCCCCTAGGGGCAGCTTTCTGAGTTTGGTTCAGAAACTAAGAAAGCTGGCTTAGCCCCAAGGTTCAGCTCGGTTGAAAGACGGGGTTCCTAGTGTAATAAGTGCAAACTTCGTTCGGTGATGCTATTCCGGCTAGAGGAAATCAAGAGTTGGTAACTTTCTGAAACTACTATTATTCCTACAAGTGCTAGTTCGGTTATTATCTAAAGTGATCTACCTATATGTTATTTGAAATATAATGGTATTTTTTTTAATGAATAATGTTGAAATTTTTTTGATTATAAAGTTCTGCTTGGTTTGATTTTCAAAAAAATTTCTAAGAAACTAAAAATTAAGTTGGTGAATTTTTTTTTTTAAAATCACATTATTTTTATAAAATTTTATCTTTTGGGAGGGTATAAATAATTTTTTTAAATATTTTTTTTATATTTATTTTCGTTAAATTAGCTTTTATTTTTTTGAAAATCAAACATGGCGACAACTTTGATATCATTATTAAACCAATCCATTAAATTAAAAAATTTAAAACTAAAAATATTTCATATATTAAACATATCAATTATATTTTAAAAATCTAATAATCATCCATTACATGATATCCTCCAAAAACATCTGTTAATAACAAATACAACCATCTAGTACATGATAACCATTTAAAAAGATCAACAAAAACAACCACCCATTACATGATCATTATCCAAACACATACTAAAAAATAATTTCGTAAAAAAAATAAAAAAATTATCATTTTTATTTAACTTTATCTTTGGTGAGGAAAAATGATTTTTAAAAATTTAAAAATAATTTTTTGACATTTATTTTTGTCAAACTAGTTTATATTTTATTAAATTGACAACTATGTCCTTGAAATGAAGCAACAATATCTTCAATTGTCCTTATTTAAAACGAGATTCAAAATTTAATATCAAATGTATTACAATTAAAAAGTTAGAAATCAAAATGACACAAATCTCAAATTACAGAAACTATTAATGTAATTCGTCTTAAAATATTTAATAAAAAATAAAAATGGGTAATTTGAGGGAATGAATAAGATCTCTCCCCCCACCCCGATTTGGGCCAAGCCGAGAAATGAGGGAAAAAAAAATAACATGGGCTGCTGTGGGCTCAAGGCAACCCTGGTGGGTTGTTCAAGAATAGACCTGTGAGCCGTAGTCAACCATGGGCTGGCCATGATTTCAAGTTTACACTGGCACTGGCAGTGATTATGATAAACTATATGCTACAAATTCGGTGAGTTTGTGATCAATTTAAAAACGTCACTTTTAATTAAAAAAATAATAATTCTTTAATTTTGTGTCAAAATTTTACTTTTTTAGTCTGTCTAATTTTAAAAGATCTAAAATTTAATAAAAAAACACTTTTTTTTCCTCCAAATTTTTAATTTTTTTTCGCATTTTCTAGTTGAGTAGAATCTAAATGTAAAGCTGTCTTTTTTTTTTTTGGGTTGAAAATTACTAAAAAGGACAAAAATCAACAACAACAACAAAAAAATCAAAAAGCTAATCATAGGCACACATGTAAGATTTATACACATAAATATATCTGAAGGAGAGATAACAAGAAAAACAATCAGTAATGTTCAACAAATAAATTGAAAATGAAATAAATAAATTGAGATATGAGAAATAATAACAATACCAGTGGTGAGGTAACAAGAAGTGAAAGAACCAACAATGTTCATCATCCCAAAAGCAATCATCTCTTTGTTCCCATCTATCTGGTAATTCTTGTACATTGCAAAGCTTCTTCCCACTGCTATTCCTTCCTATATCAGACCACATCACACACACCCCTTTCTCTAGGTTAGGACTCTACTCGAAAATATTAAATTACTAAAATACCCTTCACTTTCAATTTGGCTAGCCATGGCTGAGAAAGAAAATGAATCCCCTTATCATGTGATTTTATTAATTTAAAATAAATTTTCACCATATGACTGCAAGCTATAGGGGGAGAGAGAGAGAGAGGGGCTTACAGCGAGAGCGATGACACCCGTGATTATTCCAATTTTGATGGTTATTGGGAGATATTGAGATCCAAATGCCAAATCCGTTATTGACAGAGGGTTTAAACCCTTTTTCAATTCTCCTATCTGAAATCCATACATAATATATATAATATTGTCAATATTATGGCTTGTTTTGAGAAAAAGATTAAAAGTTGATTTTTTTAATTTTTCTAATTTTTTTTAAAATGTGTAAAAAAATAAAAAAATAATGTGATTTAAAAAAATTAAAAAATTAATTTTTAACTAACTTTTCAAAAGAGGATATATTAGTAGAACAAATCTTTTAAGTTTGGACAAATCAAATCCAGTATTAAGAGTGTAAGTTAACTCACCGTTTATGTGTGAGTCCACGACTTATCGCTACATGATTAACTAGTTATGTTGTATGTTTGAATCACTATTTATGTGCAAATCCGTGACTTATTGCTACATGATTAAGTACCTTATTATGTAGTATCACCTAGAGATGATTTTTGGAGCCAAGACCACACCACTGTCCCATCATAAATAAAATTTGAAAGTTTCCTTTTCAATTTAAAATTTCATCTTACTAGAGAAACTACTCCATTCTTTCTCACAAAGACAAACTCTTCTGTTTTGCTCCATTAGCAAATCTGCTCCTTTTCTTTCCTATATCTCATCAACTCTTCCAACTTATTGTCTCATATTTTCATCTTTAAATGTTGATCCATTTTAATCTATCATGGATTCTATAATTGAGACTTCCTCTATTGCTAGTTCCCCTATTTTTCTTTCTTGTGTTCATCATAAAACAAAGAAAAATCTAACAAATCATCTACACCAATCAATTTTTGAAACTCTGCTAATACAAAGTAAGGATGAAAAATTGAAAAGGGGTTGTCAAACTAAGGTTGCTGCGAAGTTCTCTGTCCATGTAAAAACTGTTCGTCATATTTGGTAGAGACGAATAGCTTGTATGGAAAATGGGTTAATGGCCAATGCATCTAGCAAATTAACAAATTCTGGCTGCAAGCGAGTTCAACTTAACCTTGGGAAAGTCGCTGAAATTCCTCTTCGTCATCGAACCAATATCCGCTCATTGTCAAAGGCATTGAATTTTCCAAAATCAACAGTTCATAGGAGAATTAAAGAAGGCAAAATTAGGCCGCATTCAAATGCGTTGAAGCCGTGTTTATCTGAAGATAATAAGAGAGCAAGACTGCGATTTTGTCTTTCAATGCTTGAACCTAATAGTCTTCAAGGCCAGCCAATGTTCAAATCCATGTATGACTATGTGCACATTGATGAGAAGTGGTTTTACATCTCCAAAGAAGCAGAGAGGTATTACCTTCTTCCTGAAAAAGAAGAACCACATCATTGTTGTAAAAGTAAACGTTTCATTACAAAGGTAATGTTTCTTGCAGCAGTTGCTCAGCCACGGTTTGATGAAAATAAAAATGAAGAATTTTCAGGTAAAATTAGAATTTGGCCATTCACGTACAAGGGGCCAGCTAAAAAGAACAATAAAAATTGTGCAGTTGGTACGCTTGAAACAAAGGCAATTGTATCGGTAACAAAAGATGTTATTCGTGCATGTTTGATTGAGAAGGTTCTACCTGCGATTCGATCTAAATGGCCACGTTCCAGTGCAACGAACACTATATTCATTCAACAAGATAATGCAAGACCACATGTTGATCCATTTGATGTTGGATTTCTTGAAGCTGTAAGTAGAAAAGGTTTTGATATTCGTTTATCGTATCAACCCCCAAACAATCCGGATATGAATGTTTTGGACCTCAGATATTTTAGAGTGATCCAATCTTTGCAATATCAAGAAGTACCCATAAATATTGATGAATTGGTTTATGCCGTAGAAAAATTGTTCGAAGAATTATCACGAGAAACTCTTGATCATGTATTTGTAACCTTGCAAGCATGTATGTTAGAGGTGATGAAAATCAATAGTGGAAACAATTACAAATTGCCACATATGGAAAAGAGAAAACTGATGAGAGATGGTAGTCTACCTTGCCAAATTCAATGTGAACCTCATGTTGTTGAAAATGCTTTGGCCCATCTCCATTTAAGTCCAGGTGAGTTTTTTGGTCTCTCTCTCTCTCTCTCTCTCTCTCTCTTTTCTTTTTTTTTCTTTTTTTTTTTTTTGTTATTTTTCAGGGTTCTAACCTCACAAGGCTTTTGTAACAACCCTCACCACTGTTTACCGTTAAACTACCGATTACTGCTAAACTGAGACTGATTATGAAAAGTAATTGAACTGATTGAAATACTGAACTGACTGACTGAAATCTGAAACTGATTGATTGACTGTATCCGTTTAAATGCACTATCTATCTGTTTGACTGTCCGATTATCTGTTCATGTTTTTATGGTTAAATTGCAAATTGAAGGCCTTATCGGCGGCCGAACCCGAAAATGATTAGCGTTTTATGATCGATAAAATTTATGCGGATTTATGGTGTATTTATCTGAAATGTGATTTGGTATGATTTAATTAGATTAAAATGAGCTTAATCCCACAAGTTACATTATTTGCAACCTTGCCATTATAGTGAGCCACTATCAAAACCTTGGTTGGAGCCTTATCATACTTAGACAAAACATCTTCTTCAGCCTTTTTGAGAGGCACAACCGACCAAGAGAGAGAGAGTGAGAGAATTGAATTCAAATTGGTGGCTTGCTTGAAATTGAAAGAATTGAAGAGAGTATTGCAAAATTAAGCTTATATTCTTGAGTTTAAAGATTTAAGGTTGGTGTTTCACCCTCTCATTTGTGCATTTGAGTTGATTCTTGCATGCTTCTTGAGCCTCTAGTGATTTGAGTCTAGAATTGGCTTAATGTGTTGAATTGTAGCATAAATCAGGCATGCATGCTTATATCCTAGCATTTTGAGGTTGAATACATAGAATTTGGTACATGCATGTTCATATTTTTGCATTGGACCATGAACTCATCTTGGTTTTGAAGGAATTGGCTCATTAGAGCAAGTATTGGAAGCTTTGAATTGGTTTAAACTCATGCATGTTCAATTGAAGTTATGTTCTTGAGTTTTGGTTTGAAATTGAATTGAATTGATCTTCCTTTGGGGCTTTGATTTTACAATTGAGCTTTAAATCATGTTAAACTATGAGTTTTGATGTGTTTTCCAGCAAACTAGCCCAAAAGGATCGAAATTCATGTTTTAAAAGTTGAATTTGAGCTTGAGGTTCAAATCTGAGAATTCCATATTTTGAACTCGCGCTCGAGCGGGGTGACTGGCGCTCGAGCGTGAAATTTGTGCTCCCAGTACTTTGCACTGTTTTGATGTCCGTTCGAGCGGAATAATTGACGCTCAAGCGGGACATTGTGTCTTATGCTCGAGCGGGTGTTGAGCGCCCAATCGAGCGTGATTTTCACCTATCCAGCACTTTTGACTGTTTCGCAGAACGCTCGAGCGGGTAAGTCTACACTCAAGCGGATACCTTTGCCTGCATGTCCGCTCGAGCGGAGTAACCTACGCTCGAGCGTGACCCCTGTTTTCTGAAAATTCTAAAAATGCTTTTAAAGTGCATCTTTGCATCCTCATCTAATCCTAGGCATTATTAGGCCTAGTTTAAGGTATCTTAATGAGGATATAGATGTAGAACCACACCGAGGTAAATTAGGGATTAAGTTATTATTTTCCCAACTGTGTAGCTTAGTGTGTGTTCAATCTGTAAACTGTGTAAGGTTGGCGACTGGGGACGCACTCTAGCTTTACTGTAGCTCAAAACTCTGTGAGTAACAACTGTGTAAAGATATGTTCAAAATGATTATCTTCTGAACAATTGAACTGTACTGCTTTTTAAACTGATACTGTTAATTGAATGAATGTATGTCCTATATTCTAAACTGTATTGTGGCATCCTTAGCAACTACTGTTTACTGTTACTGTTACAGAGATCTCTGTCGGTTCCCTTGTTGGAACCACTACTGTTTACTGATTGATGGCCATCATTTACTGTTCGGTCTTTTAAGACCTATTGTTTACTGTACTGTTATGCTAATGGATGTACCACATATGACTGTACCGACTGAATGACTGAAATACTGATTTAATGAACTGTTTTCAATACTGTAAGGACATTCATTCTTAACCCCTTTTATATATATATATATATATATATATGTAGGTGTTCAGGCACCAGACCGAAGCTAGGAGCGTGGGTTAGACTCCCCTTTTTGTCGAGCCAACTACTGTGCCTCACTGTGAGGTTCCGAGCCTGCCAAGCTAAGGCTATGGGGTGTTTTAGTTTTCCCCCTTATGTTCTGTTTTGTAAACTGTAGACTGTTATCGTACTGTTTAATAGGGATTAGGTCCCTGAACTGAATGATTGAATATATGTACATATTGTTTGTCACTGACTGCATATATGTATGAAAAAGTCTTTTACATACAGACTGTCACAGCTCATTGGACATTGTTTATTTACTATATTGGCTTTCGCCAGGCCCCTGTACTCTGTTTTACTGTATTACTGTTAAGCAAGCCTTCAGTAATCTCGGATTACTGGCCGGTTACGGTGCTAAACCCATAGGGGCAGGTTTGGATCGTGACAGCTTTAGAATTTTTTTAGGTGAATTCCTTAGTTAAGAACTCTGCTGATAGAGAATAATTTTTGTCGGTGAATTTTGTCACTTAACTAAAAGCTTTTTTGATGGTGTTGCTGTTGAAGAAAACATTTGTGAGTTTGCAATGCTAAATGTAAATGGCAGTGGTGGTGAGAATTGAAACTCAATGTATTAGCACTTCTTTTTGTTATTTTTGCTCCCTTTTGATGTATATATTCTTTTTGAAATGTAATGAAATATAGTAGTACTGTAATTTCGTTGTTTTTTTTTTTTTTAAATATATAAATTGTCATAATTATGTACTTTTTGTGTATATTAATAGTAATGAATTAAAAAAGGGTAAAATGGGAAATTTATGTCATTTTTGTACTTGATTTTTGAAAAGGGACTAATATTTTGGGACTATGAAAAATGGAATAAGGGACGAATATTTTGAAACGGAGGAAGTATTTATAGATTACATATAACTTTAAAGAGTCGTGCTACAGGACTCGAATATTGAGGCGCGAATTTGTCTCGAATTTGTTTAACCCGATCGTCCGGCAAAGAGGCTAACAGCCACGGTTGACAAGGTGACAACCGTGATAAACAAGTGCTACACCCGGTCGTCCGGGTGGTCATTCGGCGGGTTGACCGGTAACCACAAATTCATGCCATTCGTGCTTGAAGCTCTCCACAAATTCATGCCATTCGCGCTTGAAGCTCTCAAGGCCTGAAGCATTAACCAACTTTAAATTAAATAAACATTTACCTCTTTCGAGGTTTGATAAAAAAATATATATATATTTAGTTCTATAAATTTAATATAATTACGCTAACTTCTCTTTTATTAAAATTAAGCCATCAAAACTAATGAAGTAAACATATAAATAAACAAAAATAAATAAACATATTTTAGTAAAAAGACATAGCAATATTTTTTTCCATTCATATAACTTATGAATTATCGATAAAAAAAGACTCAAGTGTTACATAAATTAAAATATCAAGAGAGATTGGTATTGGTATATAAAACAATCTTGCTACATGCATCCCATAATTTTGTCCTCCCAAATTCACTTTTAATGGTGTGGTTGAGACCCATGTGAAACAATCACACACTCTATTGGGGAATTTTCAAAATGGTTTTTAAAATTTATAGTTTAATTTTTGGGTGTTTTCAAAACCTTCCTTGTTTTTCTTTGGAAAGCATTAATTAAGCTTGGAGACTTTGTCCCTCATTGGACAGAGAGCAAAACATGGAGCACTTAATAAAGCGCTACATGGAATATTCTTTTGAATATGGAATTATGGGATGAAAGCTAGTGTGCATGCATCCACACCGCAAGGATGGTGCTTTGCACCATCCGCACATGCACACGTGGGCGCGCGTGCGTCATGGGCAGTGGACTGTGTGGCATTTGATAGCGCACTTTACACTTAGCACGGATGCATCGGCACCATGAGGGTGCTTTCCTATTTGCATCAGACAAGTTGGAGCGATGACGTGGATCCACCGTGGCATGGGTGATGTGGAATACAGTCAGCTCCACGTGGCAGTGACGTGTCATCTGTTGGCGATGAATCAACCAACCGATCAAACGATTATGTGTCCAATCTGGAGCGGGTTGATCATAGCCATTGATTGGAGATGCGCGCGATCGTATGGATAAGATGGCACCCGATCGTGATCAGGTGTGATTAGTTAAGGTATCTATTCGGTGTCAAAATGATCTGCACCATAGATCGTCGATCCAACGGTCAGATCTGATCAGATGCGATCAAGGGACATAACCATTCGATCAGATCCATTAAGGCCTATAAATAGGCTATGAAATCAGCCATTTCATTCCATCCAAAATCCTGAAAAGCATTATCCTGTCCTGCAATTCTCTCTCTCTCTCTCTCTCCCTCTTGATTTTGAATTTTTGATCAAGAGTTTCTTAAGCAAATTTCTGTTTTTTCCTATTGATAATCAAGTTCTGCAGATTTAATTATCAATGTCTTGGTTTCTTCATTATATCAAGAGTGTTCTAATCTATTGTCGTCAGTGCAGACGCTGGTAGACTAGATCTTTAGATCAGGCTTCATTGTATCCTGGAGACAAATTTGTTGTAACCCCCTGCACACCTTTTGGTAGGTACAAATATTGTCTTTAGGAAAGCAATTTAGTAACGCGACTTGAAGCACTAATTTTATGTTCTATATAGACAAGGTCATTGCCAAATTTTGAAGACCCGAAGACCAACATTTGAAGAATTCAAGACCCTTTGTTCCAACAATCTAAAGACAATATTTGGATATGGCGATGTCTATTTAGAAAATGACTCAAGATTTTATAAAGCTTAACCGTTTGATGGAGGAAATTTCCGACGCTGGCAAAAGAAGATGCATTGTTTGCTCACCACTCTCAAAGTGGTCTATGTGCTAACTACCAGCTATCCGACAAAGCAAGAAGACGAGACTGTGGAGCAAACCCGTGCCAGAACCAAATGGGAGAATGACGACTACATTTGCCGAGGACACATTCTGAATGCACTGTCAGACTCTCTATTCAATGTGTATCAACATCTGGAAACGGAAAAACAACTCTAGG